CTTGCTGAGGGTGCACTCAATCTCCTCATCAGGATCACTGATGAAGATGTTGAACACGAGCGGTCCCAGCACCAAACCCTGAGGGACACCACTCGTGGGCGATCTTCCTTTCCAGTTCATGGTTTTAGTTCAAGGCCAGGGTATTTAATACCGTGTTTAGAATTCAAACTTCCGGAAAGTTTGAGGAGAGTTTCCAGGGTTGTTTGCTGTGAGCGAAAGGTAACGCAGTCCTTTCAGGCTTCTCTCTGCTTGTAATTCCTCGGCTGAATCTGCCAAGCAAGTGTGTTAATCTTCTGCACAGCAGGATTGCTTGGTTTGTCTTTTAGCATCGCAGCTGCTCGTTTGCTGTTCCTTAAAATACTCTGTGCTGAAGACTGTGTTTCTGGACTCTGTCAACTGGGTGATTTCCTGCTTCGTTAGAGACAGAATGAGTAGAAAATTGCCCAAGCGCTGCCCTTTCACGTCCGGGGCCCAGGTGCCCTGCCGTGCCGTGCTGCTGGCTCACGAGAAAGCTGTGGCACTGCAGCAATGATACTTGAACTTTGTAATGCAACATTCAGGTGTGGGATTTTGTGGTGTGGTGTTTTTTTTTTTCCCCCCAGCATGAAACCGCTTCTGTTGAAATGTTTGAGCACCTGATCACTTCCAATCAGCTAGAAGAAGTCATGAAGTCCTATGGTCTTGTTCTGGAAGAAGATATGATCTTCATCAAGGAACAGATAGCGGGGCCTGTAGATGAAACTGCTTGTGAGGAATCGGTGAGTCAGGGTAGTGCCTGTGTGGTTATCCCTATAAATGTCTTTTATTTTCACTGAAACAGTAGGTAAATTTTTTGCTTCTGCTGTATTTTATTATTTACTTTGAGACTCATCATATTTCTGAGCGTCCTGGCACGGGAGGTGCTGGGGAGTCGTAGCGTGTGTTTCTTACAGTGCTGGTGGTAGCTTCACTGTGTTACGTGCTCACATCTTTTTGAGAGGGTTTTACCTCAAAGTCTTCAGAGAGGAAAGCTCAAGAACATTAGTTGTATTCAGTGGAGCTGGTTCACGGTAACTAGATCAGTACAACTGAACTAGATCAATACACTCTTAAAGGGGGGGGCTGGGGTAACGGCCTCTTTGCTGGGTGCCTGTGGGCGGCGCTGACGGGAGGTGCTGGTTTCAGGTGGTCGGTGAAGAAAACCTGGAGATGGTTTAGGGGTAACAGTAACTGGGGACCAGCAGAGATGAGGCAGTGAGCACTGCAAAGTGTGCCCCACGTGCCAGGGCCACGTCGGCCTTGGTGACAGGAGCAAAATGCTTGGATTTATTGCAGTAACAAACGGAGGGGCAGGGGTGAGACTTGAAGAAATGTGTTGCCTCGAGAGGCGAGGAAGAAAACATCATCGTGGTTATTAATCCTCGCAACTCTAAAAGAATTAAGTCCTCTCCTCACTTTACAGCTCTTGTCATCTCTTTAAGATCACCCATTCAGTTGCTACCAGGGAACCCGTCTGGTCCTAATCAGAATTTCTGTGTTGTCCCAGACAAATTGCCCACAAATGTTAGCACTTGCCCGTTACTTTCTGCTGCAGGGGGGCACAGTTCTGCCACGTGCTCCAGCACTCCGCTGGCCAACTGAGGAAACTTGGCATGGTGCAATTCACTGAGCTCTTACAGGGAGGGGAAGTTCAATTGCAAAATCTGCGAGCTGATTTTTATGCACCCGCCCTCATTTGCACATAGATCTTGCTGCCTGCCTCTTCCACTGGTCTTGTGCCAGGTTCTCACCCGATGTCTCTTTTTCTATTTGCCTTTTTTGGGTTCCCTGCCTGTTTTCCTGCAGGCTAACAGGAAAAGGGGGGGGTCGTACACTCTTCTTGCCACCCTCCTGGCGTTAGGCTGGGGGATCTCCCGCTGGCAGCCGATCTCTGTGTTGAATGTCCCTGGTTTTCTGACCGTTGTCCCGGTGGCAGAGCTCTCTGTGATCAGCACGGGATAGTTTGTTCTCCGATGTGCTCTTCCTGCTGCTTACACACATTCGTGTTCTTACTCATATCAGCTTTAATATTTCTGTAGCACAGATCATGTGTAAGACATGTATTTGTTTGTATCTAATGTTTTCCACCTTCAGAATTTCAAGGCCACTTTATGGCATTTTTTTGCTTAGCCGGAGAATCATGACATTTTAAAAAAAAAAATCCTAGAATGTGTTGGGCTGGAAGGGACCTTCAGATGTTTCTGTGTGACTTGTATCTTCTTATTTTGGTGTTGATTTCCTCTCTGCCTCGTGGCTCACCTGTCCCTTGTGGGTTGTGAGTTTAAGTAGCCAGCTCTTCAAACAACTTTTCTTTAAAACATCCAAATTGTTTTAAACCTCTGTTCTATAAAGCTGATTGCAAAAAAGCTGATCTATAAAGCTGAAGACTGCGAGACAGTGAGTGTCTGTGGGTTTAACAAATTCCCGGAGAATTAAATGATTCCAGTCTTTTCCCCTCTTTGTTGCTCTGCTTTTTTTTTTTTTTCCCCTTGGTGTATTGGAGCTGCAGGCTTAGCTTTAGTAAAATGGGAAATAAAATACTTGTGTACCTGGCTCTTACTGATATTCTGGGAGTCACCAGCTTAAGGCAGGCGTAGTTCTGGTTTTTTAATGCCCAACACCTTCTGAAAGCTCTTTTATTGTCTTTGTGCTCTTTGCGACCTCAATGTTGGATGTTTGTCACAGGCAAAATCAAAGTATATTCCCACTGTTCTTAAAAAATTATTTGCACGTTGTTGGCACACTTTAATTTCTAATTGTTTCTGATTTTTTTATTTCTTTTTTCTCTTCTCGGCTCGCCTGGTGTTAGTGGCCCTACCGTGGTCGACAGAAGGAGAAGAGTTTCCTCTATGAGATAGTAGCTAACAAAAAAAATGGCATTGACGTTGACAAATGGGATTATTTTGCAAGGTACAAACCTTAGTTTTTTGATTTTTTTTTATAATGAATTCCTACTGAACCAGTGCTCCTGTACGTACAAGTGCGATCTCATCGCTAACCGCTGTGGAATGTTTTCAGGGATTGCCATCACCTCGGAATCCAGAATAATTTTGATTATAAGCGATTGCTTAAGTTCACGCGGGTCTGTGAAGCAGACAGCCAGAAGCACATCTGTGCCCGTGACAAGGTGAGCCGGGCGCGCGGGCCGAGGCCGTGGTGCAGAGGGGCGTGCTGAGCCTGCCCGCTCGGTGCTTTTTGAGCACGGGGGAGGAAGATGTCATTGCTGCTCCGAAAGCCGCTCTCGGGAGCGACTGGTTGGAGGAGGGGAGGGAGGGATGGAGCAGGGCTCTGAAAGGGCTCGTGGTGGATCCTTCCAGCGCAGATTTTACGAAGCCATCAGCCGTGCGTGGTCCTGCTTCGTGTCCTCGGAGCGAGAGGCGAGGGGGGCTCTTCCCTGCCAGGGGGTCACTGCCAGGGCTCTGCTCTGCTGTGGCGGCCTGAGGCTGCCTCTAAGTTTTGTAAATTGTGAAGGGTAACCATTCTGCTCCACGCTGCAAGTGGAAGGATGTGACTAATTTGAGTCTGTCATTGTTTTAGCTTTCCAGTTAAGCCAATGTCAATAATAGGGGATGATTGTTTTGGGTTTTTTTTGATTCAGGAAGCTGGAAATTTGTATGATATGTTCCACACTCGGCACTGGCTGCACCGGCGAGCATACCAGCATAAGACTGGCAACATCATTGAAATAATGCAAGTATTGTTATTTTTTCTTTTTTTTCTTCTTTCTTGCATTCCATTTATTTTTAAGTTCTTAAAACTGTATATCCCTTTGCAACGTTCAGATAAACAATAAGGTGTGACAGAGATTAAAAGCCACTGGGCTGGGTAACCCAATTCTTGCGGTGAGGCTCTGTGCTCAGAGCATCATAGAGGCTGTGATTAACACAAGAGGGAAAAAAAAAAAAAAGAAAAGGACCACAACATCCTTTCACGTGAAACTCCTTTAGAGAAAAATTACTAAAGCCCTGAAGAAGCGTAGGATCAGGGTGTGCTTATCTTTTTTTAACTTCTGACAGCTGAAGTCAAATCTTTATTTACAAATTGGAGCAGGAATTGCCAGCTCAGCTGACTGCCTGCGTTTGTACCTCTCTTGCTGATGCCTGTAGAAGTTTCCCTATAGTGTTACTCTGGTTTTTCTTGAAAAGCATAACTACTGGTATCTGGCAAATACTTGTTTACATTAGGATCCTGGCTGCCGAGTTTGGAGAAAAGGAATGCGGAAGATTAGACATTACAGGGGTGATTTGTGACTGCTGCCAGCTCAGCTGACTGCCTGCGTTTGTACCTCTCTTGCTGATGCCTGTAGAAGTTTCCCTATAGTGTTACTCTGGTTTTTCTTGAAAAGCATAACTACTGGTATCTGGCAAATACTTGTTTACATTAGGATCCTGGCTGCCGAGTTTGGAGAAAAGGAATGCGGAAGATTAGACATTACAGGGGTGATTTGTGACTGCTTTCATTTCATAAACTTCAGGTCCAGGTTTGGTGATCCTCTAAACCAGACTGAAAATGCTAAAGTTTGACAATACCTGTGGGTGAGGAGTGAAACAGCCCAGAAATCTGATTCCTGGCTTACCGTAATTCTAGCAGCCTGTCCAACTGAGCACGTGAGCTGGAAGTGACAGTGAGGTACAGGGAACTCTGAAAGAACTTCATCTTTAGAATGCCAGTTTTTCCCACCCGAAAATACCACATGTTCGTGATGCTTTACCTTCAACACACTTTGAATTCTCTTGGTTAACTCCTGGAGCAATGAGTCCGTAAACGAGTACACTCGGCTGTGAGGCAGCCTCGCTGTGGCCGAGTGACCGTGTCGCTGTCTTGCAGGGTTCTGCAGTCATCCACGCTGTGCTAAACTTGTGTCTGAAGCAGAACAAAGTGGACTTGCTCATGAAGGTCTGATCCCAACAGAATCTTTCCATTTACTGAAAACAGGTTAAAATGTGCGATGGCAGCATGGAGATAGGGTGGACTGCAGCATGCCCCGGGTCTGCCGTGTGCTCACAGTGTACTTTTGTCTGTTGTCTTCTATTTATGACACTACTGCGTTTCTGGTTTTGACTCTTAAGCAGTGAGGTGTTTGAAAGTAGTGCTATCCTTAAGTCTTAATTTTGTCTCAAACTAGGATTACAGAAGCCTTTCAAAAAGCAGACAAATTTTTTAAAATAGAAGGCTCTGGGGGAAAGTTCTACCAGATTTCTACAGCAATGGAGGACATGGAAGCCTACACTAAGCTAACTGGTATGAGGTCTCAAAAATATTTCTTTTTGAAGTGCAAGAACAGGAGTAGCTGTTAATGGTTTTTTTTACAGCCAGTGGCACAGCAGGCCCTTGCGCGTGGCTGGTGGGGGTCTCAAGTACTGCTTTTGCACACAGGTGATGGGGCAGACCTGGACTGTCCGATCTCCGTGCTCTCCTGTCTTGCTGGGAGAGCAAGACCTTTTAGTTTAAATTACTTTTGTGTTGAGAGACAGAGCAACAAATTCTTATGTCCCATGTACATTCACATTCGGATTGTTGCAAGGAGTGCTGGCAGGAGGTCCAGCCTGTGCCCAGAGTTTGTTGGGTTTGTGACAAGTGGGATGGTGTTTCACAGAACCATGGAACAGTTTTGGCTGGAAGAGACCTTCAAGACCAAATCCAGCCTCTGTCCCAGCCCCATCAACACCACTGCCCCGTGTCCCTCAGCACAACACCCACCCGTCTCTGAAATCCCTCCAGGGACGGTGACTCCAGCCCCTCCCTGGGCAGCCTGTTCCGCTG